AACAGATTCATCCTGGAAAGGGTTAAACCGGGAGGCTCCTTGGAGGCAAGGATTCTGAGACTCTGTCTAACATACTTTGGACATGTTGTAAGAAGTGCCTGGTCCTTGGAGGACATCATGCTGGGGAGGGTGTAGGGACAGTGCAGGAGGGAAAGGCCCTCTATGAGGTGGATTGATTCAGTGACTGGGGTTATTGGGATGCGAGTGTCAGAGACAGTGCGATTGGCACAAGACAGAGCAGAGTTTAGAGCTGTTGTACATAGTGTCGCTATGAGTCTCAAGCGACTCGACAGCACATAATAACAACAACAATATGCCAAGGAGCCTTGGTGGCATAGTGTATAATGTATCCTGTTACTAACCAAAAGGTCAGCTGCTTAAATCCACCAGGTTCTCCTTGGAAGAAAGATTGGCTGTCTCCTCCCGTAAAGATTTACAGCCTCAGAAACCTGGTGGAGGCTTGTTATAAGTCAGAACTGATTTCACAGCAGTGGGTCTGGGTTTAAGTTTGGCTTAGATGACAAACTAGGAGCCTTGATGGAATGATTGATGAGTAACTTGATCAAGCTGCTAACCACAAGGTTGGAGGGAAAAGATGAGTCATCTGTCCTATAAAGATTTACAGCCTTGGAAACTCAGTAGAGGGTCACTTGAGTGAGAACCAACTCAGCAACAGTAGGTTGGTTATATGTCAACCAGTGCACTTTATACTTGGGATTAGGAAGATGAATTAAAAAAACCCTATCCGTCAGAAATTTGGAATAGCCACAAGGGAAGTATCCCTAAAGTATATTAGGAACAAGTTTTGGGGTCTTAAAAGTGGTACAAACTATCAGCATACTCAGCCGCTAGCTGCTAACCAAAAGAATAGAGGTTCAGGTACATCCAGAAGTGTCTCAGAAGGAAGACTTGGAAATCCACTTCAAAAAAATTAGCCATTGGAAACCCCATAATGCACAGTTCTACTCTTACATGCATGTGATCTCTATTAATTGAAATCAGTTTCAACAGTAATTGGTTTTTATGGATTTTGAGTAGTGGAAAAGTGTATTGCAATAAGGAAAAGAGTAAAAGAAAAACACTTTAAGTTCGACTGTATGATGAGTTCATTTTCTGCATCATTATGAACTGGTGGAGCTAGAGTTTTAGCAAGTGAGGGTGGATGGGAGAATAGATTAAATGAAGCGCAAGGTACATGTATATCAATATTAATTATTGTGTTTGGAAAACAATGATACTTACCCTGTTGAAGAGGTCCAGAGCTACAATTTAGGATTTAGGTAGAAGTCTGGGAAAGATTTGAGAGACTTGTATTTCTTCCTCCACACAATTTTAAGATATTGTATTTCTTAAAAAGTGATCAGACAGTTCTTTCAATGAATCTGAATGTTGATGTTAAGTGTTGATATTTATAATAATAGAAGACTTTCTGACTTGAAGGAATATTTCCCTTGAGACTTCTTTGATTAGACTCTCATTTAAAGGAATGTCATTATCCTGTCTGATTTTGGTGAGAGTTGTTGGAAGAAAAGATAATCTTTAGGATTAAGAGAGAGCTCTGGTGGTCTAGTGGGTAAGAAGTTGTACTGCCAACTGTTCCACAGGAGAAAGATGAGCAGTCTCCTCCCATGCAGTTTATAGCCTTTGAAAACTCACTGTGAATTGGTTCTGACTCAAGGCAATGAGTATGGGTTTAAAAGAGTTAAATGGCTCAAGACTTTTTCTTACCAATATTGCCCACAATTTAAAATGCTTAGTAAACATATGGTCAAAAGTACTTTTTTGAGACTGTGCATCTTTTAGAAGGTAGTAAATGCCCAGATACTAGGAAGGATAACATTTTAAAAGTGTTTTGGGAGTATTTCCTGATCTCCTGTAGTCTTTCTTAAATTACACAACTATAATATAAAAATGGATACAGTGCTTGCCCCTTTGTATCAGGCTGAAGGAATATGACAGTAAAAGGTAGAGTGCTCTTAAAGTGATTATCACACTCTAGGAAAGCCTAATTCAGTCATATGCTAGAATTAGTGTTCAAATCCACCAGATGTTCTAATGGAGAAGGAGAGGCAATCTCCTGTGCTAGTTCGATCCGATTCGACAGTATACAAC